GAAGGTGAAGACAAGGCAGAGACAAGGACGGATAGACGTGGTGCGTGACATCTGTTGTTACGGCGGTGAGGTACGGGTGTGAAAATGGCGATTAGCGAGGTATCAGTTAGCAGGAATAGCAAATGCAACTGGTCTACATGGCACGTTTGTACAACCCAGGGCTATAAAATTTTAATGGGATTTGGTAGAATGGGTCTGCATTTTTGAAATATCTCAGTTGGAGCTGATGTAAGCGATTAAGTTCTGTTATATAGTATATATCGCCAAGCGAGAATAACGAGTGCAATGATAGATTGCTTGACTATATCGTTGCGGATTCCTGAGGTCTGAACGTGTATGGTTCTCATTTCGATATTTACAATTCAGATATTTTTTGCCTTCGTATTTTGTATTAATTTATTGGCTACAATGTGGTAATTTTAGAAGTAAAAGGTAGTCCCCCTTTTCACGGATTGCTGGTAAAATATGTCAGTTCTTTTTGCTGTTTTACTCGCTTCTAACGAATATATTATTTTTATTATAATAAATTATTTTACCGTTTCGGATTTGTTAAAAATTCCAAGCGCTGATGTAATTAGGAATACAGATCCAGACAAAGAAATATTTTTATATTGCGACTCGTTTAATGCAACACGTTCACTACTACGCGAGCTTTGCGTGATTTTTATTAATTTAAAATTTTGTTGCCTAGTTCAGCGGTTCTCAACCTTCTTCTTTCCAATATATGAATAAATCATATTCCACTTTGTAGTACTATTTATTCGGTACAACTCGCTTCATACAATTTTAAAATTCAATATAGTAAAATTTAAAGTAGAAGTAAGAAACTTTTTAGTAGACGACGTTCATTCTGTATTAATTATTCGTTACAACTGCGGAGCTCCGGTCACGCGTGACCTAACCTCACAATCAACATTAATATTTCGATTTCACAACAAAAACGGAATTAGTATTTTGCATTTAGAATTTTAACCCATTTGCATCGTTAAGCGGAATAATCTGCACACTATAATTGTTCCTTATCTGTATCAAGTTTATTTACCGTACAACTACGAAAAAAGATAAGTATTTATGTCATAACACCATATAGAATAATTTGTATAACTTTTGGATTAAATATAAGTATGACTTTGTTTGTTATACCTAATTTCAAACAAAATCTTCAAATACTGTCTTTAGGGCGAAGATGCAAATGGGTTAAAATCGCCATTTCAAAGACGACGTAACAAAATTTACGTAAACTTATCCAAAATATTTTATCCGAAGAAAAGTGGGTCTAGAATTGAACTATTATGTACATCCTGTACCCCCAATCGCTTACAAAACCTAGGCTCAAAATATCGCAAGAACCACAGACCTGTTCCAGCAAATGGCATAAGGTTTGTAGCAGAAGACGTGTCCTATATCTCTGGCGTAGTGACATCCTAAAAGCGATTTCCACATGTGTGCACTCCCCTTGTAAGATTCGCAAAGACGTTTGCCAGCAGTGAGAAGATAGCCAGCGAAAGGAATGGTAACGGGACCGCGAAAAACGCGCTAAAATATGATGACCAAAGCGTCCTGCTTCGGGCGCTTTGCGAGTTGCCGAGGGAATCGGTCACGGTCGTTGCTCTTCGCTACTTTACGACGTCGGTTCTTCCGTTCCGGCAGCCAACGCGATCACTGACGCCGTTGCTTAAGTCTGCCGCCATCATTGGACCGAACGTCCGCCGTCATCCGTGATCTCATGAGCAATCCGGTTTAGGAAGACTTGGAAATTATGGGAACTCGAAGCTTAGATTAGGTGTGCATCCACGGCTATCATTTATATAGTAACTCTCTGTTGACTGAAGTTAGGATAAACTTAACCCTTTGCACTCGACGATTTTTTGGCTAAAGAAGAGTAGGAGTTCGAAGATTTTCTGCTCTAAAGTTGACGATATTCTTTTGAATAGTAAATAAGGAATAGTATAATAATTGATACGTAGAATTATTTAATTGCTATACCTCGCACGTCGTTACATTATCTCAAATTTGACATATTAATTAATATCCATCTTCGAAATTTTATCAAATGGCGACTGAGGGTACCTCTCGAGTGCAAAGGGATAATACTTGGCCCGAGATTAAGACCACGAATCAGACTCGTGGTATTCATGTTTGACCTGAAATACCGATAACGTGTTACACACGTGGTATTCATGTTTAGCCTGAAATGTCGATCACGAGTCACACTCGTGATATCCATGTTTGGCATGAAATTAAACAACGAACCTGACTCGTGATAATCAAGTTTGGCCTAAAATTTTCATCACGTGTCAGACTCGTGAAAATAGTGCAAAGTGTGGTTAATCATCGAACGAATCAACTGGGTGTCCCTGGTTCGGTGTCTCGGACGACGAAGGCACACCTGGATGACCGAGCTTTCTTACAGGATCCAGACAAGGTTAGGTTAGGGTGAATTCGTACCTGTTGCCAACACGAACGAATACATTTATAACATTTGTCGAAGGTATTACCAACTGCTTTACGTAAATAAGACGAAATTTCTAGGTGGGACTAAAAATGTCCCACTATGCATTACGGTGCCTCAAAAAGGTGGGACACTTTTAATCCCAGCTTGCTCTAAAGAGGGATTAATGATATTCAACAAGAACTCCTGTTCCTAGGTATATTTTAAATTTCTTGATGGTATAAAATAAACGGGGGCTCGATGGGTGGTTTTCTGTGATGCGTGCAGCATCTTAGAACTCCAACATCCCCATCTTTGGCTGTTGTCCCTGGGCCTCGGCGATGCCTTCCTAGAACTCCACAGAGAGTTGGGAAGACTAGAACCGAAGGGCTTTCTTACGCCGGAAGACTATGGCCAGCGGTGAAAGTTGCCCACAGATGTTAATATTGAATTCTAAAATAACGTAATACGTAATAAAATATTAATTATAATTTAACGCTTCCATAAGTTAATTCAGAGATTTCGTTTTAGCAACATATTATCTTTAGTATAAACCTTCGAGAGTAAAGAGTAGAAACTTCAGATAACTAAGGTTTGTAAAGTCAATCTCCAGAATGTTTGGGTTTGCATAGTAAATCTCTGCAAAGTCAGATTCAGCGAAATTTGAATGATTGTAGATAGCAAAAAGATTCTTGTAAAATCTTGGTTAGCAAAGTTGAACTCTACTCAGTTTATTTTAAAGAAGTTAAGCCCTGTGATAAAGTTCTCGCAAAATTTAGGTTCGTTAAGAGGATATTCTGGTTTTAAGAGTTAAAATAATTGAATTTTTTTTTTTTTCATTTTCTTAGTGTTTGGACATTAGAGAATATGCGTGCAGATCCATTGGATGAAATTGGTAAAATTGGCATAGAAAACCTATTACTTTGGCATGCGTTGATCCGATATTGACGACTAGCTACTACGTAAACACATATGTTAGTAGATTTTTCGTTTTATCGCGCTCTTTGCGTCTATGGTTGCCCATAAACAAAGGATTGGTCTGTTATCAGCTGGTTATTCTCTCCGAAATATGTAATAAATCGATCAAATTCTCGAATATTTATACCAAAAACTTTAACCCCTTGCATTCGAGAGGCGCCTCTCAGTCGCCATTTAATCAGATTCTAAAGATGGATGTTAATTAATATATCAAATTTTCAATTACCGAAGTAAAATAATTTTCAAAAGTATTAATGACCTTTATATGTCCTTTACACGTCCTTCTAAAAAAAACTAGTACTATCAGAATATGCTTCTCTCAAAATCATTCAACCTCATCTAAAACATTCTTCTCTATACGTAATTATAATGGCGTGTATCTAGATGACAATATGTGGTGAACCATTCTATATAATTTCCACAATTTTTGTTAATTTCGTTAAAAAAAAAAATTATATTGAATTTAAATTATGTGTATAATTAAATATAAATTATATATACAATATAACATATACAATTTAAATTAAATTGTATATACTCTTCGAGTATAAATAAATCCCAGTACGAAAACTGCATACGAAATCGTATCACAGTTTGCTTGGAAAAAATTCCAAAGGAGTCGATTTTCATAGGCCAGATTACCAGAATATCCCCCATTCAGCTTATTATCTCCTAGTTGTTCTGTAAGAACTTTGTGTCTCCATCGTAGATCTGCGAAGTTTGGGTTCCCACAATATGTCTCCTCGAAGTTGAGCTTTCCATAGTAGACCTTGATAAAGTTCGGGTAAGTGAAATCAGCCCCAGCAAAGTATGGGTTAGCGAATTTGTACCCAGTATAGCCCAGATCAGCGAAACAGATTCCGACGAGACACGAATTAGCTAAATCAAGCGGCACCACGTAGCTCAAATCAAAAGAATTGAACCCCAAAATATCTGGATTCGCGAAATAAATCTTCGCGAAGCTGGGATCTGAAACAGGACCAGATTGGCGAAATCAGGCCTGTAGAAATTTAGCTTGGCAATTCCCCACGCGAAGCGTTAATTAGAGAAATAGATACCCGTTAAGCCGAAATTTGTGTTGGCGAAATTAGGCCCCGTAAAGGCGATGTTTGCGAAGTTAGCGAGTGGAGAAATTAGAGAGCCAGCTGGTACGATGTACCAGGTATTCTTTCGCGGTGGTAACGAGGCACGAGTCACGTAACATGGTAGGTGAGATAAATGCACAGCTGAGATCGGTTTCTCGTAATCAAGGTAACGCGATACCGTGTGGCAACCGCGACCGATATTATCCTGGCGCCTGCATAGCGTCTCGCCAAACTCGCCACGGACCCGATCCTTTCGCTTCGATCCCGGGAACGTTTGCATTGCAACTCGTTAGCGCGAACGCGGAAACTTCACCGTTCCCCCGGGACCAGGAAAAGATCACCCTCTCCCCCGTCGAGAAATTTTCTCCTCCAAAGACACGATTCTCTATTCCGTAACTTGGAAACTACTTGCACGCTCCCTTCCAGCGTTCACTGGCGCCCCGAGGACATGTCTCGGTGATCCACACGTACAGTTCCGAAGCACACCTGAACGATTTGAATTTTAGGCGGCGTTGATCTGCGCCTGGTGGGAAACGAAGGATGGAGGCGGCGGAGGAGGTGGTCGATGAGAATCCCTCTGAAACTGACGCGAAGCAGCAGGCCAAGAAGGTGGACCAGCCCGAGAACCTACGCGTCCTCTCGGTGGATAAGGTGACCGTCGAGAAGATCGTCTTGGAGTCGGCCACTGGCTCGCGAGAGGTGCTGCTGAAGAAGAATGAGAGCTCGCGCAAGCTCGCGATAAAGAGCGAGTCCGTGGTGCCGATACTCGCAAGAATCAAAGACGAACGCGAGTCTACGGACGCTAGATTCCGAGCTTCCCTCCCGGAGGACATACTCGCAGCCAGAGCGTTTGGTTCCGGTCACGGGGAGCCTCAAGTTGGGCAGGTTGTAAACTCGCGAAGCCCGGAGAAGAGGATCAAGCCGATCAAGTTGACCAAGAGTCCCTCTATCGGTAGCATTGTGGTCGCAGGAGGATTGAACGCCAGGAACGTTCCCTCGAAGGTACCGGACACACCGGTGATCAAAGAGGTCGAGGTGGACGAAGCGTCGGCTGAGAGACGACGCGGAAAAGAGTCGAGCGACGCGGAGATCGTGGAAGCAGAGGAGAATGACAGAGAGGAAGACCAGCCTGAGCAGGAAGAAGACTGTGCTAACGAGATCGAAGAGATCAACGCGAAGAATCGGCTGGAGAAGAGCCACACGAACATCGAGGTACTTCAGCAGAACCTGAACACCCAGATCGACGCGAACACGGCGCAGAAATACAAGAAGAAGTTACTAGAGTCGAGGAAGAACCGTGCCCTGAAGTTGCCCGTGGTCGTAGACTCGAACGCGAACGAGAAACTCGTGGGTAAGATAGCTTTCGACGAGGAGTTCCTGCAGAAGCACAATCTCGACAAGAGATTGAAGATCGAGGAGTACCGATTGCTGGGGAACGACCTGGATCCCGTTGCCAACGGTGAACGCATCGACGAGGAGCCGGAGGAGGGTCTGTCGAAGAAGGGCGCGAGACCTAGCTACAGTCAGAAGGTATTAGAGGTGGAGAAGAGGTGGTCAGGGGAATTCCTGAAGAATCAGCTGGATCGTCACTCCTCCGAGTCGTCCAAGTCCTCGTACGTGGAGGAGTACGGCAGCGTTTCCTCCAGAGAGAGCGTCTGCGAGGATTACGGGTCAGACACGTTGCTTTTCGAAAAGCGGAAGCCCGAGTTCGGCTACGATCAGACGTCGATCGACCTCTCGAGAGATCGAACATCCGAGGAGGTCCTCGCGACCAGCACGCTGAGCACGGTCGACTCCGATTCTTGTCTCGAGGATAGGATCAAGTCGCTCGAGGAGGACTTCGATGCGCGGGAAAATGAGACTGAGAGATCCTGGAAGGAAGACCAGCGCGACAACGTCGAGATCGATCGCGGAACGCAGGTAGCGCTCGTGCTGCCCCCTCTGTGGAACGAGTCGATGCTCCCAGTAGTGACCGATCAGTTACGGAATCGTGGAAACGAGGCACCCAACGATCTCAGTAATCGCGTTTATCGCGGAGTCGAGTCCAGGATCTCGAGACGTCAGGTCAATCCGACGGGCCCGATAGACACGGTCGATTTTACGTTCATCGGTAGAGACCGATCGGGGATAGACGGATACGCGAATCTCATCAGAGAGTTCACCATGGAAGCGGGATCATCTCGGACGAAGAAGGAAGAAAAGCAGAAAAAGAAGCTGGGACTCCGACGTCTCTTGCCTGGCTTCTTCTCGCCGAAGGATTCCAGGAAGGATTACAAGAAGAAGGAGTCGAAGGACAGGAAGAGGCCCGATGACAGACACTTCGCGCGCTACCAGCAGAACGGGAACTACACCAGGTCCCCGGATACGATGAACCTGAACGAGGACATAAAAAGGAACGTGAAACTTGACAACAGCTTGAACGGCTCGATAATCGAGGAGAGGTTGGACGAGATTAAACGGGAGCTATTCCCCGATCAGGGACCTATCACCAGTACTCCGGATCACCTGGCTAGGGACGAGGATCAAGGTCTGTTGCGTGACCGAGCTGGACCTCCGCGATCGTACACCACCGATTCTAGCTTAAGTTCCATCGCGCCTGACGAGAGATGGAACGATCGAAACACTCATCTGGGGATATCTCCCGATATCAGGAAGTTCGAGCAAAGGCAGAAGCGCGAGGAGTTCGGACAGAGATACGGCCAACGATACGGGCAACTCGAGCGCAAACACAGTTTACAGGAACCGAACCACGCGACTAGGTCCTACTTCTTTCAAAGGAACCATGGACCTTCGGGTAGAATCTCAGCACCACCTAGCGAGAGGTACCTAGTTCGGCCTAGAGCCATTCATCCGATAGACCGACCGTTGCCGGCAATTCCTCATTCTCGAACGGAGCTGTCCAACTACGAGAACTACCTCGAGGAACAGGAGGAAAGGCGGGAGCAGATGACCAGATCCGCGAAAGGCACGTACGCACCCGATAAGTCGCCGGAGTATCTGAACGAGCCAGGGTTGTACGAGAACGACAATCCCTCGGGCTGGATTCTGAAATCGGTGTCCGCGCAGGTGAAGATTACCCGGCAGCCTATAGTGAATCAGAATCACCGAGCACCTCTGGTCGGAAGATCGCCCAAGTACCTGTCGTCAGGCTCCAGTCAGAAGTCCGGGGATTACGGTGATTCCAGTTGCACGCCTAATTCCAGCCAGAAGAGCGAGTTCTCGCCGTCCAGCTCGAAGAGCGGCGAGTACTATCTGCACTCCCCGCGGAACAGTGGCTCCCCTAACGGGCGCGAGTTCGACGAGGATGAGTCTCGGAGAGAAGGAATCTACGAGAACGAGAAGTCACCCTCCAGATCGTCGACTAGATGTATGGACGAACGCATTTACGACGAGACTCCGTCGTCGCCCTGCGAGGATGGCTGCGTTCCTTCGAATTCGAAGCAGCTCGATCGCTCCATTGAGGATTCCTTGGACAAAAGAACCGCGTCCCCGCACAGGAGTCGTTCGAGAGGAGAACGACCAATCTCGCCGAGAGAGAACGTGGAGAAACGCGAGGATGCCGAGAGGCAAGTCGGGGAAGCGAGCAACCGGGGAGAACAAGGCTGTGGTCCCTCGTCTCCCACTGGCAACCAAGGCAAGCCGATCTCTCCGTTCAACTCGAGACAGGGCTTGCCAGCCTCTAGAAAGTCCGGGCCAAGTGATCAGATCCTGATTGCCTCTCCTAAGAGGGAGGTCGCGTACGAAACGCGGATACCTCGTCCGTCGATCGAAACCAGGCGCTGTGCCATAGAGTCCCCTGTGCACATGACGAGCACCCCTCGCAAGCTAATCACTGTCAACACGTTGGAGTCGCGTGGCCAGGACTCGAGCGGGAGTCGGGACGGCTCTACGACGAAGGGCAGTCCGGGACAGGGCCAGATGGCGAACTTCAGCCCGGAAATTGCGCGACCTGAGCCCATCTATGGGCACCGTCAACGAAGCGTGGAGATCGGGTCTCCTGCGAGGATCGGCTCACCGGATAGGAAAGGTTTGCAGATGGACATCGCGCACAGGAAAGATGGCGACGATAGGGTAGCCTGGGTGCAAGCTCATGCGTCTTCTCCGTCGACCAGTCCACAAAAATTAGGCGAATCCACCAGTCCACAGATGCAAAAGTGTAATCGTTCTATTGACGTAACCACCACGGAGACTCGTCGTCCAGAGCAGAGTCTGACCATTCATTCTCCGCATTCTATCTCCACGCATACCATGGAAATCCAGCCACCTCGGAATCCCGGTCTGGACCAACGCGTTCCGCAGCAACAGCAGGAGCCGAGATTGACAGGGCCTAGGTCTCTAGAGGAGCCTGTTTACGTCCAGAGGATCTGCGAACCGTACGGGCAACGTGGTGGCACGTTGACCACCACCGGGGCGCCTCTGTCACCGTCGAAACAGGAGACTCGACAACATCTGGAAGCGTTCTATTGGCAGCAAAAGGCGCTAGAAGCGCATCGAAAGTCCCTGGCGTCGCCGGTGAACGCGAACTCGAGACAGATGGGACGAAAAATTGATTTACCGGAGGTCAGGGAAGCGGTGTACTGGCAGCAGCTCAAGAAGCTGGACGAGGAGCAACAGAGACGTATTTACGAGCAGAATCTGATAGACGAGTCATCGTCGTATTGCAAGGGTGGATCGAGGAATTCGGCGAGGACGTCTACGCCTAGGCAGGGATCCGCTCGAAGTCCCATGGCGCCTGGGCTTTCGATATCCGCTACTCACGGTACCCCGTCCTCTTGGAGTGGCAATCTTCGCTGTTCCAAATCAAATCCCACTGGAAAGCCGCCGCTGATGCAGAGTCAGAAAGGTCAGAATCAACCCGTGCTGATAGTCAGGCCGCAACAGGCGATACGCGAACGCCGCGATATGCTACCGTCCAAGCCTCTAGATCCTGCCAGACCAGAGGTGCCCAGGTCCAAGAGCGCGTCCCCGCATTTTCACCGAGGCGAGGCTCAACCAGTGCCACGCAAGCTAGAGGTCTCTTCCATCTATGAGGAAGAGGCGAACGACGTCGACGGGAAGAACGCTCCTCCACCCCCGATATTCAAGAGAGGCAGTCTCATAGGCGGGGAATCGGTGGAGTACGGTAGCGCCGTGGGCGCGAAAAGAGTGAGTTTCTCGAACCAGTCAGGCATAGTGGGCCAAGACCTACCCAGCGGGAGCTGGCCCACGAAACACGGTACAGCCCCGGAACCACCGACTCGAAGGCACCGCAGCGAGGACAGCGTGTCTGACACCGACTCGGTGTTCTCTCATCAGGAACGTCGCGATGTGGCTACCCATTGCCCGGACACCACGGAGTACGACGCAGACAGACCTCTGCCGCCTCTGCCCAAGGATGCCACCCTTGTGACCACCACGAGACCAGCACCGGCACCCGGACCCGGAAGAAACCTCGCGTACAGTGACAACCGGTGGAACATGGGAACCGATCCTCGACGCGCCATCAGTCCTCAACGGATGCTCCGGCAAAAGGGTGAGTCTGAGTCTTTGAACAATCCACTTCTTCTCGTTCTTCGTCTCTGTCCGCCATTTCTCACCGTGGGTCAATTCCTTTGCGGTCCCTCGCTTTCCCGCTAGAGCAATCGCGTTTCGGCCTGGTCGTGATTTTATCCGGACAAGGTGCAAACCGCGCTGCACGTCGCGTATGACCGTGCATTTCAATGAGCCTCTTAAGGCAGACCGGGAGCAGTATCTGGTAGAGGCACGTTCGCGTTTCAGGCAGACAAATCTCGCTCTTACGCTTTAAGCCTCTTCGGTCTTCGCGGTGTTACTGGTCTGTGTACTCCTACACGCGTGTCCCATCCAAATACGATTCAGAAATACGGCTGACTGCGAGAACTTTCCAAGCTTTGTTTCTAATTTATCGTGAGATATCCGAGGTACCTATTCGTATTCGCGAGATACCTCAGTGTCATCCGCTTTAGAGTTGCTAGCACTAAAAATTTTCGGAACGAGACCTCGAAATAGAGTTCGCTCGTGAGATGTCTATCTTTTCTTGTTTTCTTTTCTCCGATTCATTTTGAGGAGATCACTTTCCCGTTTAAACGTCGGATTAGGTTCCGATTGTGGATGTTAAAGTGGACACTACGATAATTTCAAAAATTGGAGTTGACAGTCGGTAATTCTTGGGTTAGTGATTCGATTTTGATTCGAAATTTGACTACTGCCCTCGCATTTTGTTGATCTTAACTATTGCGACTAAGATGGCGCTATAATGTAGTCTGGATTCGTCGCTAACTGCTCATTTCAATGACACTTCCGACTCAAAATCTGAAGACAGTGACTGTGTTTTACTCGTCTTAAGTATTAGTACTACTGAGATGGCACTGCAGTATAATTGCAGTAGATTTGATATAAAATATGAACCTTCGTAACATTAAAATCGAAATTTAATAATCGTGTACCCATTTTGGGTACATTTGTCCCAATCGTTACTGAACTATAAGCGAATTGGACAAAAGGATCAGTATTCTGCGTCATAATAAATTTGTCGTTTGCAATTAACACAGAAAATTATGATGTAATTTTCATTCGTATATGGGTTATTGTACTACACTATTCGGTATTATGAAAGTTAGGGGTACATGTTGGGTCTACGATGAAGTCGTGAGGGGACAATGCTGCCTTTGGGAGAAGACACTTAATGGACGTGAACTTGTGTATCTACCTTTAATGTTCCTAGGTTATCTGAGTGTTGGGTTACATTTTTGGGGTATTTTCTGAATGTTAAATTTTCAGGAAGTGGAAGGAGCTTGGAGAAAAATGAAGTTTAGTTGTCGTTAGGAACATGTGTTGGGTTTATGACGAAGTCGTAGAGGAACAAGCTTTTAAGAATTGTCATTTATTTAGAACCCGTGTCTATATTAAAGGCTTGATATATAGATAGACATAGCAAAAGGAAGTCTAAAAATTATATCAGAATTGGAAAAAATAATTAGAAAATAATTCAACGATGTATATTCAACTTACAGTTCATTTGTCATATATATGAACTGTGGTGGCGCTAGTTTGTTCGATGCAACAGTGCATTAGGATCAAGGTAAACTAAAGATTTTGATTCTTCGGTTAATTTTTGATTCTTAGTTATTATTATACATCGAATATTTATTGCAAAGGTTTTCTAAATATCCAATTGTACTGAGCTAACCTTGAGACTTCTCGTTTGTTACGTTTTACTATATTTCGTTGCCGTTTAATTTGCGTCTGGTCCAGTTACATTGAAGTAATATAAAATAGAAATAATGTTACAGTTTCGTCGCAAATAATTTTTCAATTTACTCAGAGGCGAAATTTTTAATATCTCGACCTTGGACCACTTCCATAATCTTCAACATTAAGAGGACTCTAGACGTTACCTCTCATTTCTCAGTCATGCCAATCTCAGTGGCCGTCGACTTCATCGTAAACTCTCACGATAAGCTTTCTAAACAACTGTGGTTTTCCTAGAACAAGGAACTCATTGTGCAACAATCCTCACAGGCCTAAGTTCAGAAGTTTCCTAAGGCTCGTGAGTACCTTGCGCTTAGGAGGTTAGCCCGAAATGCGATTAAGCTATCTAACTTCTCACCAAAAATACACAACCCTTCGAGATTGTCTTTGGTCAAGTATCTCAAAGATACCAGCTACTTCTCCATCACCAAAATTAGAATGAAAGCACTAAAAGGGGCAAATCAAACTTACGCAGGAACTTTACGACGATATAGTTTTCAAAAAAATATTTGATACGTGTTTAGGATACCTTGAACAGTCCTTGAAAATGGGGATGAAAATCTTGACGAAAACTATTTTCCATAATAAATTTGACTACGTTAGAGTGTTTGTTAGAATTATTCCTAAAATTATCCTTGACAGACCTCGAACTTGTAACTTTCAGTAGACTCACGATCAGTAGAACTGGAACCAAATTCTGTTAGAGCAAACTTCAGCGAATGGAGGTAAACATCCTATTTATACTTAAATCCCTATTCTCGTCCGCGAACGTTTCGAAATTCCAGGGAAATATCCCGGTGAAATTGCAGAACGAGCTTCGAGAAGTGTTTTCACGGGGTAGAATTTATTCATAACCGGACCTGCCGTCGTGAATTCGCCCGTTCGCGATCTCAAGGTGTGCCCAGGTCGCCTTTCCGCACCGATAAGGGTGAACAGGGGCCCCTGAACTGCGCCCAATCTAACCGATCTCTCTGGGGATCGGACTCGCGGGGAGAAAAGTGAAGGAGGACGGGACTGTTTGTCGAATTTTCGATTAGTCGATACGCCGTTCAATATGTATGCAAATTATCCAGCCAGGATGCAAATTCGAATGGCCGATATTCGGAAGTTAGCACCGTGTCGATGCCTTTGCTGAATGAAACTCGACCAGCCGAGAATACGTGCGAATCTCGTAATTTCTATTATCTCATCTATCTACATACATATAGATCCCCGTTTAAATCATTCACTTTGATCGATGCGAAAATTTAAAACAATTCTCGGTTCACTTGGAACCTCGTTTCGGCTCTTCGACCGCCACTCGTTGTCAATTTACGATAGCTATAATGCATTTAATATTTAGAATATTTTAAACCATTTTCGTCGTTTTAAAAACCGAAAAGCAGTGATAGAAGAACGGGTTCCGAACTATCATTGTACGGCACTGGTGGGCTCATATATTATTAACAATACGTGTCTTGCCTATCTGTTTCTTAAATCGAAATATTTCTATATGTTTGGTTAAATTATAATACACCAACCCGGTCCATCCTCCACCACTCTGTGATGTATACACAGTGCAAAGAAGATTTTGCTTTCCGTAATTTTCGTCCCAACTTTTCGAAAATATCATCGACGCATTGCTGGGACTTCCCCGATTAAAACGAGCCCAAACACGACGCAAATCGGACTACCTTATCATCTCATCATACTTACCGCCATAAAATTGCACGTTATATCTCCCCTCTTTTATCTCATCATACATGAATGAATCCCTAGAAAAGATAGGTACCCAGGTCGCCCAAAGCGTATCGCCATCTCCGACATTTTCGAATTTAAGCGCGCATCGCCATACGCATTTTTAGGTTACCTCTCTTGCGCGCGCTATACGAGATACGCATGGACCAATGCGAACCGAACCCCGAAAATATATGGAGGAAAACATAAGCTAAACATGCATCGGTCAGTAGCCCTATCTGGATCGGGGAGGTTAACGGAGTCGAAGTCGGGCTGGCGCGAGCGGAGAGAAAGAAGGTTAGTCGGTTGGTCGTCGTCCTACAAGCCCGATCGTGAGTCCCGCGATGCGTCATGGAACGCATCACCGCGTGTATTCGCGGGAGGTCGCGAGGCACGGCGGGAGGTCGGCAGAGGTGGTGTATCGGCCGAATGTTTTCCGTCCGGTGAGTAGATCGGGGCGGCGGTGGAGGGGAGTACGCGGCGGTGGGCGTTCGGGATCGATCCCCGACTCCATTCCCGTGACGTCACGCAGCGGGAAGATGGAGCGGCGGAGGGTGGGGGGCGCGGGCGAACGGGAGAAGAAGGAAGGAGAGACAAAGCGAGAGGTCTGGCGAGCAGGGAAAGCGCGATAGGGTGGAGCGGGGCCGACGTAGGCGCTAGAGGGGCGGCTAGCGGTGGGGTGGGGGTGTAAGGGTAGGGTGTAGTGCCGGGACTCGGGCAGATCCCGGCGACGACGTTCCGTTCGGCGGGTTTTCGATGGTGGTGCCGCTGCTGTTGGTGCTACCGGCGTTGAGGCACCTTGTGTGGAAAGCTTGTGTCGAGCCGGTTGCCGTGACACTTCCGATCGTTTGTCCCATCGTCGCGTCTCCGTCCTCCTTCCTGGAAGATTCGTTTGGCTGACGAGAGTAGTCGTCGTTGCTCGGTCGTTGCCTCGATGAATCGATCATGTATCGGTGTCGGCTTCGAACGAGTCTCATAGGAAGATCCCGTACAGTGTGACATCTTGGTCGAAGAAATTAGATAGACCTGTTACCCTGGGGGCCGCCGGGTCGTATTGGAAGTACGCATAGCTAGAACGCGATCGCGTGTGGATATATATGCATATGCGCGTATGTATATACGTACGTGTATACGTAGCTGTTGGTTCTTCCTCGGTCACGACCTTCACCGTGTAATCAACTTGGAAGCGAGAGGTTGGTCGATTCCGGTGCGCGTATCGAGGGGATGCTGCGAGATTCGTGGGTGAAGTAAACCTTCTGGGACGTGTTCTGGAAAACATGGTCGCACCGGTCGGCCACTGGCGAAGAAAGAACCTCGTGTTACGATAGTGTCTCCCTTTCGTTCCTTCGTCCGTGGCAAGGAAGGGTCGATAGATCCAGGCTCCCCGAGTGCTGCACCGTATCGCTCGAAACACGAGGCAGAGCTATCGATTCCGTGCACCGACGGAATCATGAACAAGATACACCCGGTAATACTCCTCCTCTTTTTCCTGCTCATCATCTTCTTCTCTCTCCTACTCTTCCTCTTTTTCCTCCGAGCGATTTTCTA